GTCACCCACTCTGAAGAACAGGTGGACCTCAACATGAAGCTCAAAAGGTTTATGCACAAGGCACTACAGTCTAAAGGACCCCCATTCACACAGAAGCCTCTCCCAAGTATACCAGGTTATCCCACCACAAACAAGGATACTGAAGGAACACGGAGATTACACATGTCCAAGAGCACATCTCCATGAAGGGGCTAAGACTCAAGAGCATCCATACTCAAGAGCATCCATTCTGGTCCAGACCCATTGCCCTAACCACCATGCTACACCACTCCTCCAATGGGACTGATTTTAGAGCCCATATTCCCATTCACCTCCGGTTCATAAGGCTGTACTAACAGCCTGATCCTCATCTTGATACCCTTTGTATTGCTACTACCGTGTATTGCCATAACTCCTGGCCCTATCTGGGCCTTAGTTTCTTCTTCTGTTTGGAGAACACCTATGGCTTCTCCACTGACATACAACAGGCAGAATCAGACCCAAATGCAGGTCTGATACTCTCATGGAATGCTAGGGGGATTTGTAAGGGACAGCCCATCCCCTCAGACAAGTGCCAGTGCACCCAGTCGTAATCACTGCTCCGATTCTCATACTTGGCTTGTACTAGGCAAGGGCAGGAAGCCATTTTTGCCTGTTCCACATCCTAACTGGTGTAGCACATGCCACCACAGGAGAGCCCTGTCACCAAATACAGAGGCCTGCAGAATCAATTGTCCAGGGTGTAGACAGAGGTACTTGTATCCCACACCGTTGAGTCTGAACTTCCCTTACTCCCCAAGTTGTCCCTACTCTGAAACTACAGTGCCATTCTTGTTTTCTCCAGGCCCTGTCTCTAAACCCTCTTTCAGTCAGATACCAAGTCCCATCCAGCTCACTTCAGAAATCTTTCTCAAGGTTACTATCTTATCCATCTCCATTGCTTGTTTCAGTTCCACCGGGACAGTTCTATGTGCCTTTCCTAGTTCTCGTCTTACCGGAGTCCATGCCTCATGTGGTGGCCTGAAAAGGTTTTAGATGCTACCTGCTGGGTTGAAGAGATAACTCTGTGCTTAAAAGCACTGGGTACTCTTCCAGAGGACACAGGTTCAATTCTCAGCACCCACATGGCAGCCCACAACTGTCTGTAACTCCAGTTGCAGGGGATCCCGCACCCTCACACAGACATAAATGCCGGCAAAATACCAGTGCACATAAAATAAAGTACAACTGTTTTTTCGAGACAGGGTTTCTCTGGCTGTCCTGGAACTAACTCTGTAGACCAGGCTGGCTTCACAGAAATCCACCTGCTTCTGCCTCCGAGTGCTGGGATTAAAGGTGTGTGCCACCACCGCCTGGCAAAATAAAGATAAACTAATTTTTAAAAAAATGCTACCCTGAGCTTTCTAGCTTCGCATTTATCCCTTTGCCTGTGTAGCTCCAACCCAAACCCTTCCCATAGCACATGAAGGCATGCCCCCACCCCACTGCTCACCAAGTACCCGCTGTATCACTGGGGAGGGGAGGGACTCTGTTCATATGAAAATGGAAGATTTCTTGTTCAAAAAGTGGGAAATCTCTCCTCATAAAGGCACTAAAACAAACAAAAAAGCTATTTGCATTTTCCACATCATCTTTCTCAAATTGTCACAGTATTAACTGCCAGTTGACTATTGTATGAGTAAGGTCAGACCTTTGCGAACACAATCTAATCCGTCTTCTGCTATCCTCACCTTCTAACAGGTGCTGTCCTGTGACCCAGCCAGATATGAAGAAGGGGAACCAGGAACGTCCCCATCACATAAACCTGCTACTGCAATTCACGATGAACAGACAAAGCCTAAGGGCATCTATACCTCCACTCCAGGAGACTTTGTGTCCCTAGAAGGGAGCTGGGCCTTGGACTTCAGCTCTGCAGAGCAGCTCACTGCATGGGCTGTGGCATGACCTGCCCAAGGTAGAGACATCTACAACCAATGCCCATCTCTGAAGCATCAAAGGATTTGTATTCTAATCAGGCCTTCCCCACTCACAGGGAGCCCAGGGCCCCAGGGAGGGAAGACTCTAAGAGCCTGTGCTTGGAGCCAGAAGATAGCAGAATCTGAGGGAGTGTGTGGGAGCTGAATCTCCAAGCTCCCAGAGGATGGGTCACTGTAGCAGTGAACTCTATTTACAAAACTTAAATTCAAAGGTGAAATTAAAACTTCAATGCCATGACCAAGAGCATTCATTCCAAGGGGGAAGGAGCTCTGAACATATCATAGCCACAAGGCTGGCCCTGCCCAAATCCTCCAGCCTTGGGTTAAATATTCTATCTTTTGGGGAGCCTCTTTGACCCCAAGCAAGACTAGTTTATATTCTCTTCCTCAGGCCTCACATGTTCCTCACTTCATTTTTAAGCACATATTTAAGGGGTTACATTGTAATTATTTGCTTAATTGACTAAATTAGTTGAACTCTGCAAAGATGGGAACTGTCCTCTTGGTTCTCAATGACATCTCTGGAGTATTTCCAGGCCTATCGTGGGTACTAAATATATATTTATAAAATGAACAAGAAAAACCAATTCAGATTTCATCCTAGAGTCTCCCTTTTTTTAAAAGCTAAGTGTTGTTGTAGGCAACTGGGATATTGACAGCTTTCTGTAGGCTCCCAGGGAATAATAAGGGAAAGGTAAATGCTTAATCTGCTCTGTCCCCTCTCATTGTCCTCTTCTGGGTGTTGGGGACAAGCGGTGGTGAGGAGGCCTCAGGATGCCCAGGAGGCCTCAGGCAGAAGCTGCCTTTGTCCCTGGGTGTGGCCTGTTCTCTTTGGACTTCACAATAGATTAGAGTTATCCCCAGGTGGTCAGTGTCCCCGGGGTATGCTAACTTGTCCCACAGGTGACACTGGCCAGCTGGCCCTCCTCCAGCATATATTCACTATGGCATGCCTCTGAGCTCTAGACTTGACTGAAGAGCGGCAGTTCCAGCCCACAGACCATAGGACTATTCCTCAAACCATTTTGTTTTCAAGATGGAAGTTGGTGTAATCCCTAAGGTATGGTTTAATGTCCTTAAAAGAAGGCAGTTTCTTGCAAAAAGAGTCAACCTCTTTTGTGTGTGTGTATATGTCCATGTGGGTATGCACACATGTTCATGTGTGTGCAGGTGCATGGGTACATGTGTGTCTATGTATGTGGAGACCAAAGGACAACCTAGGGTTATCATTCCCCAGGAGCTGGCCACCTTGTTTCTTTGAGGCAGAGCCTCTCACTAGGAACTAGGGCTCACTGATCCAGCTAGGATAGATGGCCAGTGAGCCCCAGGGATCCTTTCGTTTCCACCTTCCCAGTGATAGAAGCATAAACACAGCACCAAAAGCATTCAACTTCGTAAAGTGCACATAACGCCAAATTCTGAAGTCACGACGTAACTCTCCCTAAATCCATGGACATGGAAAATTGAGCTTCTTTTGAGAAGGCCCTGGCTGCACACAGCAGCTTCCCTGACAGCAGAGGCTGCACTGGCCCTGTCCTCATTTAGTACCATTCTAGGAACTCAGTTATTTCCATTCTCAGCAAACACACATTTAGCATCCAGCTTCTCCCCAGTTCAGAATAGATTACCATGGAAACCAGCCTGAGGAGAGGCAGAGACACACACACTTTTCTTTCTGGCCCTGGATGCATACAGATGGACCTCCTGTCTCCAAGCCCTGTGGTTTCAGTACAGGGGAAAGCCCTGGAAAATGGAACTCCATAGTTCCTGTCCTGATGGGTGTGTGTGTGTGTGTGTGTGTGTGTGTGTGTGTGTGTGTCTGTGTGTCTGTGTGTGTGTGTGTCTGTGTG